AAAAAAAAAAAAAAAGAAAAGAAACACATAAGAAACTACGAAGGAACTAGGAAGAGTTCAAGTGGCAGAGACAAACACATGTTCGTCACAGAAACGACACAGGACACCTGAGACAGAGAAGGCAAGAAGAGACACCTCAGGGCCAGGAGGGCTCTGAAGGATCTGGCGGGCTGCTGGGGTTTGACACACACCCAGAAACTGGGAAGCCTTCCACATAAATGGTCGGAAGCACGGGGAGACCGGGAGACACCCCAGGAACAAGTGCGGAAATCTGTGGGTTGAGCACTGTGAACTTCCAAGAGGGAGAAGTCAGCGCGAAGGTGGCCCCAGGAAAGGAGACTGAGAAGGAGCAACGAGACAGCAGGTGAAGCCCAGGTAAGTGGGCGCTCCTTCTGTCATCTGATCCCCAAGGCCATCAGGCACGGGGGTATAACCATCCCCATTTTACTGCTGAGGAAACGGAGGCTCAGAGAAGTAATGTGACCCAGGCCACGCCAGAGGCGGTGGGAGATCAGAGCGGCTCAGGCCTCCGCAGCCCTGCGTACCCCACATAGCTTCTCTGTGAGACAAGCTACTGAATCGTCACCGACACAACAGAGTAAAAACCGGGTCATTCCAGGCAGGTCTTAAACGTCTGTTTCCAAATAAGGAGCTGGGGCGCCAAGGCGGCTCAGTCGGTTAAGCGTCCCACTTCAGCTCAGGTCATGATCTCACGGGGTTCATGGGTTCGAGCCCTGCGTCGGGCTCTGTGCTGACAACTCAGAGCCTGGAGCCTGTTTCGGACTCTGCGTCTCCTCTCTCTCTGCCCCTCCCCTGCTCATTCTCTCTCTCTCTCTCTCTCTCTCTCAGATATAAATAAACATTAAAAATAAATAAAGAGCTAATTCTAGGGTTACAGGCTGACAGCCTCATCAAAGCAGCCAAACCCCTGATCCCAGCACTTCTCCCTGAGGAATTCAAAGCACGTGTCACGTTGTCACATGGCTCCCAAGCGCATCCCTGGGGAGGGAGAGAGTGTCCTTCTTTGGTGGAGGGTAGGTTATTTTTCTTAATTTGACCAATCAGTTTCAAAGCTTATCCAAAAGGGTAATAACTGAGAAAACCTAAGAGATGTCCAGAAAAAAAGAAAAAGGAATAACATATGTGTGCATACAATGATTTATAAAAATAGCACCTTATAAAACCATACTCTAGACACAGATTATCCAAACAGACAAAAATCTCAGAACATGCCCAGCATCTTGAGAAATTCAAATTTCAAAACAAAATGAAAAGAACAGACTTCTCTGTAAATATGTTAATTGATAACTGTTAAAAAAAAAAAAGATCCCTATCACACACCACACACCAAAATAAATTTCAAGAATATTACATTTAATAAACATTATAAACCCCCAAAATAAAACTTGAAGAAAATACAACAGAATTTTCCCCTAATACGTGGAGGGTTTCTTTCAACTCAGAGAAATCATGAAGAAAAAAATAAAGGAAAAGACGGATAAATTTACATATGCAAAGTTATTTTACTTCTGTACATAAAAAAACGTGACAAACAAAATGTCAGTGCAAATGGTAAGCTGGAGGGAAATGTTTGCACCATTATGACAAACCACTGATATGCAAAGAGCTTTTAAAATTCATCAAGATGCGAGTGCCACGGAAAAAGTGGGTAGGAGATGGAACTAAACTTTTTTCAAAGCTTTTTTAAAATTGCAAAGAAAAAGAAGTGCCTATAGTTTGATCACAGGTACACAGCAGACTGTCCATGAAGCTGGGACATCTGACCTGTGATCCAGCAATCCACACATCAAGCTGGCCTTCGAGACAACACGAGACTGGAAGCCCTCGGGAAGAAAAGACCAGCCCAGACTCAGACTGGGTGAAGCTACCCTGCCCCACGGAGTTCCAGATCTTCACCAGCCACCTGCCTCTGGCCTCACAGAGCACAGAGGTGGAGAGGGACCCAGGAAGTGTGACGGTCTCATGTCCTTGTCCTGACGCACCAAACTCAGGCCCAGGTGGGGCAGACAGCTGGTGCACTTCAGGAAGGCTGTCTTCCTGCTTTCACTAGACAGCACCTTTGCCTCTCCAAATTCCCTTTCCTGCTGAAGAGCTTGGAGAAGCAAGTGATGTGACACGTGTCATAAGCTGAGTATGTCACTGCCATGCCCGCCCTGACACGCTGCCCACTCCAGCGGTCCCCTCCGCATCTGACGGTGGTCGGTCCACAGCCCCTGATTAGACATGCCCCACCTCCCCAAAGCCTTTCAGGCCAGAACCCAGACCTCAGAGCCCTGCACGAGGCCACAGTGTCCCTCCCTGGCCCCAAGAGTGCACCCCCAGACCCTGACACCACAGCCCCATGGACACCCCAGACCTCCCGGCACTGAGGACGGCCGCTCCTCATTAGTGACACTGTGTTATTAGGCATTTCAGTGACTTGGGTGCTTCCATGTCAAAAAATAACAGAGGCACAGAACTCATGAATAATTACATGACTTAATGCTTTCATTACTCAGGATAAAACTGCTTTACTGTCACTGCATTTTTAATTATTTTGCTTATGGATTTTCTTATTTATAGCACAGTGTTGAAGTCTGAATAGTTATGGCTCTGGCCTCCACTGAGCCTTGGGCAAGCCCTGGATCTCTAACGAAGCCTCGCTGAGCATGTGGCCTCTCCACAATCCCCCGAGCTCACCCAGATGCACACACACACCAGCATGGGTTCCCTGGAACATTCTACAATGAAGGTATCACCTAATGGCCGTATCGCTCTCGAAAAGTAACTGTTGAAATCACTCTGATTGTTATGGTGAACTCCAGTTTTTGTATATGATTGTGCTTCAATACCCATATACTTATAAATATGGTTTATAATCTTGTTGCATGGAATAGTCACAACACCCTGCGACAACTGGGGTTTTTAAAGGAAAATAAATAAAGGTTAAAGGCCTTTGTGGTTTAGCTGCCTGGCTTCCTACAACGATTCTGCATGTCTTCCCTCTATCCCGCCCCTCTCGGGGAGACTCTCCTGGACACTGTGACCACTGCCCACCACATGTCCTCCCCACGGCGACTCACACCCTCCTCCCGGGGCTGCGAGCCGCCTTCCATCACCGCATCCACCTTCAGCACAGCTGTGTGTGGTTCTCCCCCCCACCCCCACCCCCACCCCCGGGCTATAAACTCCCCAGGGCCGGAGGCTGCTCCTTACTGACCCTACACCCCAGGCACAGCTGGACCGGAGGAAGAACTCGATCCATGGTTCTTAATGAAGGAATGAAAGTAGAAATCCACTGAAGTGTACTTCACCAAGGTCAGATTTGCCCAAGCATTGTGTGTATTTTAAACTGAGCCCCCCTTTGGGGCTGAATATCAACCCCTGCGGTGGCTTAGCTGATATGCATCCACTTGAGTGTGAATCAAGTGGACCAGGTGTGATCAGGTCGAGTGTGATCGTGAGCGTGGCTGCTACTCAAGGTCCTCAGGCTCAGGTGGGGGTGGAGGGCTGAAGAAGGTTCCAACTTTGAGATCAAGGCCTCCCGAGGGTGCCTTGTTCCCTGAAGCAGCGTCCCCTCCGCATTCACCGCCCTATGTATACACACGAGTGTGTGTGAGCGTGCGCATGCACACTATGCACACACACACACACAAGGTTCAGCAAGCACTGGTGGAGGTCAGGCAAGCCTCCGACACTGAACACAGGGAAAATGAGGAAGCAGGTGAGTTCTGTCCCCTCTCTCCCAGGACTGAAATTCTACAAGACACAGCTCTGTCTTGCCTGTAGGCAACACATCCACAGTTTCTGCTGAACTTGGAATGTCAGCTTCAAACCACACTTTTGGGTTTTTGTGGGGTTTTTTTGAGAGAGAGAGAGAGCACGTGTTGCCAGACACAGGGCCCCATCCCACTGACCGTAAGATCACGGCCAGAGCCGAGATCAAGAGTCAGGCGTTTAACCCACTGAGCCACCCAGGCGCCCCTCAAACCACACTTTCAAGAGGGAAACAATCTCACTATGGTACAGAGTCCTGGACTCACCGTCAGCAGTGTGAAGGAGCTTGTGACTCTTCAACGTCCCTTTTGATTTGAATTTCTTGCCACACATGTCACACAGGTGGGTTTTCTCAGTGCTGTGACGGTTCATGTGAGCCTTGAGGTTACTCTTGCTGCGAGTTGCATACTCGCACAAAGAACATTTGAAGGGTTTCACACCTACCAGAGGGGAAAAAAACACACAGAATCACACACACACACACGCACACACCCCTATCTGCATCCGTGTGTGCATCCCAAGGACACATGTGCACATCCACTTTGAACAAAGCAGTGCACCCGCCTGTCCCTAAACGTGGCGCACACCTGCCTCGCCCTGCTCCTCCATGCTGTTCCTTCGGCCCGCCACGCCCTTCCTCCCGGCTCTGCCAGGGCCTCCCCTGGGCGGTCTCCTCTGGCCCGCCCAAGCGAATGTCCTGGACCCCTCCGCTAGCTGTTCTGCTACAGTGCATCACAAGTCGTTCACACTGCCGCTCCCCGCGGTCTGGGAACCCCCTGAGGGCACGGACCCCGGGCAGTCCCTGCAGCACACGTTCACTCAATCCAATGGGACTGAGGTGAGCTGACAAAAATTCAAGGAAACAAGGGTCTGTGTGCAAAACCCAACGTGCTCGGGCACCTAGGATCAGATGTGAAAGCACATTTTCATACACCAAACAGAACCCTGACATCAGCTGGTGTTGGGCTAATGGCCTGGACTGTGGGGCATCCTGGCTGCTCTCCCTTCACTCAGCAAACACCTGCTGAGGACCTGCTCCGTAGCGAGCGTGGGGCGGGGGGGGGGGGGGGGGGGGGGGGGGGGGGGGGGGGGTTCTCTGAAGCGGAGAAGCCCCTGCCCCTGCGGCCTCTGTCCAGGGGGGAATGTAAAGTGAAACAGGCTGCGACACCTGGTGCCACGTGCATGGGGAGAGGGACGCTGTTCCCGACACCGAGCGCAGGGGGAACCTGCCACGCTGCGCGCCTGGCAGGTTCAGCCCCTGTCTATGAGGCCTGAGACTTGGCAGTGGAGGAACCTGAGGCTCCAGGGAGGCTGCAAGGTGTGCCCGGGGCGCAGAGCTGGGGTGCACCCGTGCCGGTAAACAAACGCACCTCCCCCTCCGCGGCTTTGACCTCAGCTCCTTCTGCCTGGCGTGGGCCCTGCTGCATCGCTGACCAACCCGACCGCCTCTCCCTTCCTGACAGCACTTCCCCCGAGGCCTGAGAGCAGGTGCTTCTGGCCACGCCGTAGAAACTCTTCATCCTCCGTCCTCCCCAGGAGCCCTCTTGTTTTCCTGCCCACAGCTTCCCAGTTTCCTAACTCACAGGCGGGACCTCTGCAAACATCCGGAAGGGCTCCCCCTGTCCCCACCACTGAGCCTCACCCCCAGGAGAGCCGCGTCCCTACGGCGGGAGGCAAAGTTGGTGGCCCACTGTCTCTGGCAGTCTCCCAACCTCCAACTGCCCAAAGCCCCAGAGTGTGCTCCCCGTTCCTCCCCTCCTAGGCAAGCACCCCAAAAGCACAGCCTGTGTTCCTCCCACCTCCTGGATTCTTCCTCCACGATGCTGGGACCAGACGACGTTCTGCTGTCCTCTTCGCCTTTGCTCATCTGTGCAACACCAACACTTCCTCAGCACCTACCGAGCCAGTGCACCACGGCGGCCACCAGTCACCTCCGTGACTGAGACAGTGCTGTTCCTATCCTCCTGAAGCCCGCTGCCTAGTGCAGGGGTCGTGCGGATTTATTTCGCTGCAATCCCAACGAAAGCTACAAAGAACTGCATGCCTCTGCTCACCGCACTTGCCACTGAACAGGCAGTGACTGAAATCATGGAGCTCAGCTGGCTGCTGCACACGTTTCTGGGTAAGTGGAAGAAAGTCTAACTGCAGGGCGCATGGCGACACGGCTTCCCCCTAAAGTGCTCCCGCGTGAAGCTCAGAAGCACGACATTGAAAGGATGCTCCATCCTGAGAGATGAGTACTCACCTTCATGAGCCCAAATATGACGCTGAAGGTCTGAGCCGTTCTTCATGAAATAGAAATCACAATACGGGCACTTCATGGCTCTCTTTCCAATCAGCCCTTTCAGCTGAACCCTCCTCCCGAGAACCTCGGAAATAGTGCTCATGGAGACCTCTAGATGAAAAGCAGGGTGATCATCAGAAGCCAAAGGAGATCAGCTCATGGAAGATGGGCGTGAACCTCGTGACAGTGCCCGAACCCCAGCACTAACGTGACAAATCCAGATGTGCCCCATGGAGTCCAGCAATAGAATTTTGGCCTAAAAGTTAAACCAGAATCTACAAGTCTCAGATCTAAATATCTGTGAGCATAAAACGTGAGGGACAGAGAAACAATGCCACAAGGCACCGTCACGCAAATGCAGGACGTGAAATCATCTACAGGAGAAGTGACCCGGTCCCTCCAACAAATTGATGTCACGGGAACAAAAGTGGGCTGGGGTGTCCCACAGAATACAAGACACTCGAGTGACGGGACAACTAAACACAAAATGCCTGAGTCTTGATTCAAACAATCTTCGGTGGACTCGGGAAATTTTAAATGAACTAATGGTAGGTAATGATAAGGAATTACCATTAATTCTGTTTGTTTTACCTGATTTTACTTTTGTTTTTATTTCACGTTTTTATTTTTTTTTTTTT